TATACACACACGCACACACACTATACACACACACACACACACTATACAAACACTATATATACACACACACTATATACACACTATATACACACACACACTATACACACACACACTATATACACACACACACATACAATATATACACACACTATATATACACACACACACTCTCCCTCTCACACACACTATATACACACTATATACACACACACACTATATATACACACACACTATACACACACACACACACTATATACACACACACACACACACTATCACTCACTCACACTCACACACACACTCACACTCACACACACACACACTCTCACACACACACACCCCCACACACACACACACTATATATACACACACACACACACACAATATATACACACTCTCCCTCTCTCACACACACAATACACACACACACACTATACACACATACACACACACACTATACACACACACTATACACACTATACACACTACACACACACACACACACACACACACACACATTACCTTTGGATAAGAGCAGTGATCGGGGTCACTTCCGGCCAGTACAGAGAACGCCTCGTACAACTCATCTACTGCACACTGATCCATCACAGCAAGCAAACACGACACACGCGCTGAGAATTACTAAAGCATCACGTGAACCGATGAAAGAGCGGCTCTCCTAAGCGCGAATCGCCGCAGCACGTCACTTCCGGTTTGCGAGTCGACAAATGATGGTGGGAATCGTGCTGGTGTAACATTGTTTCGTTTGAAAACCACCAGTGCGTTTCAGCAGCAGCATAATTGTGTGGAATTATTAACAGAATTTTAAGTCCAAACCAGCTGAAATTATCAAAACATTAATGTCACTCTTTTATTATAACTATCATTATGCATCGATGTTATTACTGTGGTGTTATTTTATCTCACAACAGATTTTCTTTCAAATGGTTTGTTGTGTTTCTTCAAATGTTGAATTACATTATATTCCTTGGATGCGTGCGCTTTTGTGTTTGTTCCGCACGCGCTGTTTCCCCTCTGCGTTGTCAGGGTAACGTGATGCGTGCTGACGTCAGCGGCCGGGATCGTTTCTTGGTTGATTATCGGTGCAGATGGAGCCGCTGTTTCTGGCCTGGAGCAGCTGCAGGAGACGGAGGTTCCAGAGATGCGCAGATATTTGCTCACAGCTGCTGTCAGAAAGCCCGCTTGACCAGGTCAGTCAGTCAGCGGATAGCTGAGAGAGATCAAAGCTCATAAGCGCATTATAACCCCTTCTGTCTCAGTATTACTCACTCAATCCTGCTGCTGGATTCTGAACTCGAAGCGTTTGCTGACATTTAGCGATCTGATGATGTTTAATAAACGTGTTAGAATAACAACAGGCATGTTTGATTGATTTCGTGCTGTTCACACTCTCATCATTACTGTGTTCGCCAAGGAGCCTGCTACTTGTCATGTTTCTGAGGTAATTGTTTGTAAAACTTTCATTAAGTTCAACTGTTCCTTATATTATATCCCCAATATTTCCTGCATATATTACATACCCATATTATTTGTCCAGTATTCCCTCTGTTAGCTTGCGCTGTGCTCAACCCTGTCCTCTGCTACAATGTAACAGCTCTGGATGATCTGAGGAGTGTGACGTCACACTCAGAGACTCAGTAGCACGTCACCCAGCCTCTTCTGAAGGGCTGTTGTGGTATAATAGCAGAAGCTGATGTGGTCTGATGGGTTTAGGCGGCGTGGAGCTTGAAGACGAGAGCTCTGACGGAGATGGTGTACATCGATGAGGTGGAGGTGGATCAGGAAGGCATCGCTGATATGATGTTGGACGAGAGCTCCATCGCCCAGGTTGCACGTGAGTATATAATTGTCCCAGCAAAGTAATTTACACTTCAGCCCATCAAGTCAAGATTATTTGTATATAGTGCAGCTCAGTTGTTCCAGGTCTTTAGGCCCTAGTGAACAGCTTCACATAACTATGCATATAACATGTATGTTTCTCCATTTCTTCTGCACATGTTTTGGTTTCGTCAGGTCCAGGAACGTCACTGAGGCTTCCAGGAACGAGTCAGGGAGCAGCGCCCACTCCTGCTGTCAGGTTCGTCTGCTTCTTCAGACTGTTTAAGCTACCCTACAGTAACCTTTGGCCCTCTAGCAGCTGAAGGCTGAAGCTGTAAATTACTCGCAGCATTGTTGTAGTAATTACAGTAGAGCCCGACCGATATGGGTTTTTTGGTGACCGATACCGATATTTGGGAGTAAAAAAATACCGATACCGATATATCGGCCGATATTCTTTGTATAGGCTATATTATAGTACAGTATAGTCAAAAGTTTGGACACACTTCCCATTCGTGTGTCCAAACGTTTGACTGGTACTGTATATAGAATACAGTATATAGCCTACATAAACAGAATATATATATACATAAACACATTTTTTGCAATGATAACTCAAATGTGATCAAACACTTATAATGATGTGACAAACATAGGCCTATGTATTGGAGGCAGGGTATTTAACTCACCCCACTCTTCTCGTCTGTCTCGCCTCACTCTTCTTGTCTGTTGTGGGAGTAAAAGACGGGGACATTGTTGTTTATTTACTTAGCATTGAGTCTCTCCAACTAGGTGACAACGTAGCGTTAAATGACCATTCAACAGACTCGAGCCACCACCGCACTGCCGTCTATTGGAGTGCAGAAAGATACTAACTTTTCAATCTGCTACGTTACTGACTGTACTGACAAACTATGCTGACACCGTGTCTGCGCTGCAACAGAACGCGTCAAAGTGACCGTTCAAATCATTTGAACTTTGTGTCAGCACGTCATAAATAGAATGAGGCATCAGTTTACTGCATCCAGTGTAGACAACATCACTGATTATAATGGGTTCTATTCTACACCGGACGCGAGCGAATAGACTTCTATTGTATTTTGTCGCGCTGCGTGATGTGATGTGACCGATGTGATAAGCATGAGTTCTGGGCCGGGGCGCGGCCGGTAAACACCAGCATTGAGTGGCCGTGATCAGCTCTGGTGGGCGTAGCACAGGCTTTAATGCGCCGCAGACGCGTGCCGTTAAGCGCAGATCCAAAACTAAGAATTAGAATCACTGTAATGTGACGATCAAATATAGGTGCGGGTGGGTGGTGGGCGGATAATTTGAAGCAGCGGACTCGGGTGAAGTTTGAGCTCATCCGCGCATCTCTACACTACACTGACCTGGGTCGCCAGTAGCAAACAATGGAGCGCGCTCTGCTGGACAAACGAAGTAATTACACCATTCAGAAGCATTTAATCTGCGTTATATGTTCTGTAAAAAAAAATTCATTCACCGATATATCAGCGACAGGCTCATATCGGCCGATAATATCGGCTAAACGATGTATCGGTCGGGCTCTAAATTACAGTACGTGAGTGCTTTGGCTCTGCTATTACAAGTAGTGATGCACTGAAATTTCAGTAACTAAAGATGTTCAGCCAAAACATCAGTTCTCAGTTTTGGCTGAAATCGTTTTGGAGGGCCGAAATCTTTTACTGAAACCGTGAGGTTTAATTAGCGTTTCTCTGATGGTGTGTTTTGACTGTGTCAGTGTGTATTTCATTCTCATAATGTGGATAAACTACAACTGGTAAACATATGTCAGCTGTGTAGACGCTAGTGATGGATTAACAATATTGATTTGTCATTTTTTAAATTGTATTCATAATTCATAAATCTCTAGATCAGTCTTTTAGTCTGTGCTGTCTTCTGTTGATGTGTGAACATCACGCGCCTACCATCAAATAATCACAATAAGCTCTGTGCTTTGTTAATTTTGATATGAAGCAAAGTTTCGGCTTTCAAGTACTTACAAAATTCAAACAATAAATCACGAGCAAAGCATGGCTTAATTTGAAGTAGGGATGGGCGATATGGACTTAAAAATGTATCACGATATTTCTGGTATTTATTGCGATAACGATATCAATGACAATAATTCAGGGAATCCTGTTTCTTTAGAGAAAAGTATTATCTTTCCTATTTTTACCCAAAATAGGGTGTTGTGAGCATTGAGTACACACCATAGACTGTATAAAGTCCGTGACGTCACACGTAGGTTTCTAAAGAGTGTTTTTGAAGCTCAAAGTTGGCGGAGCAGGCTGTTGCCATCTTGGCAGCACGTCACCGCGCCTCACTCCCGGATAATCGAAAATGGGCAAAAAGGCGGGAGCTGGTTGCTGAAGCCACGCCCACCTAGCTCAACAGCAGTGTCAGCAGCGGCAATCCCCGTCACTCAAGTGGCCACGCCCTTAATTATGCAGAACCTTAAGGCTTAATATAATTTAAACGGATGAGTCATACAAAAATTCAAACATGAATTTGTAAACATGTAAACGTTTTTTTTCTACTGTAAACTTGGGCATTTTAACATGGGGAGTCTATGGGACTGACTCCCTTTTGCAGCCAGCCTCTAGCGGCCAGTTGACGAATTATAGTTTAAGTCACTTCCGTGTTGGTTTCACGAGAGAGAGCGGGAGGTTGCCGCTTGGTACACACGTAATGTAAAGACTGTTTAATTCACCCTGGAAACCGGAGGGCGCTCTTGCACAGAAACTCCACATATGCATAGCAGAAGTAATAATACTGACGACGCTCCAGGAAGGTATCCAGTTATCGCTGAATAAAATACACAACGGAGATAGAGACCTTTTAACTGATGAAACTTGAGGAAAATAAACATACGATTGCACAAAATATATGGTTTATCTGTGTTCTTCAATCTTGGGTATTGGCGAAAGTATATTTATAATGCAATGTTAATCAACATGGCCTTTATCACTGTATATAATACTATCATTCTGTACTATGAAACTACGTCTGGTCACAAAAAGAAGTATTTCAAACACTCGACTATGTTAAGTTAATTTGGAGAAAAAGCATGTCAATAAATGATATCTTTGTTGGACAACAGGTTTGTAAACAGGCTCGTACACATGCAAAACTGTATCGCACACGTGCTACTGTAGTACATTAATTCAGAGCGATTTTTTGTGCACTGTACAGCCCTAACCAAACCAGTTACAGATTGTAAAAGGAGCCTGAGCTCCTCATTTAGCGATATAGGCTGCTCCTCCTCAATTTCACATTCAATTACTTCCACGATGTCGCTCTGCACTGTCGCACACAGAAATATGTCAACAACTAGACTTTATCGGGAAAACATTCTTATTGTGGGGAGAATTTTTACCGGTATATCGCAAACGATAAGATATCGCCCATCCCTAATTTGTAGACAAATGCATCGTTTGCTAGTTTGGGCTTTTTGCTGTTCAATACGAGAGCTGCTGTTTACATATTTGTTGTCAAACGAACTATAATATGATGCTTGATTAAGTCGTGTAGCCCTGTAAAACTTGCCTTTATCCTCACATGTATGTTATCGTTCCTATGAGGCTTGATACCTCTTATATTTAATGGTGTTATGTGTCCTAGACCGATGACTCAGTCGGGGCGTCCCGTCACAGGGTTTGTGAGGCCCAGTACACTGTCTGGTAGACCAGAAACTATGGAGCAGGCCATCAGAACCCCGCGAACAGCTCGTCCAGTCACCAGTGCTTCCGGCAGATTTGTCAGGTTGGGAACGGTAAGGTGCTGTGTTGTTCTTCAGAACTGATTTTATGGATAGCATTGTTTTCCTCACTACACACAGTATATACGTACAGTGATCTGTCATGCCAGCAAAGCACCTTAAACTGAAGCGTCAGCTGTTGCACTGGACTTCCATATACAGTAGTTTCCTGATTCTGTTGTTTGACTTGCAAACATTTGTATGAAGTGTTGTAACTGTGTTTTTCGTTACCGTGTCAGGCCTCCATGCTAACAAATCCGGATGGACCTTTCATTAACCTTTCTAGGTTAAACTTAGCAAAGTATGGCAAGAGACCGAACTTGTCCAAGGTATATTTAACCTAATCGGAAAACTGCATGTAAAACTTACATTGTGAATCAAGTAGTTCCTTTTAATTATGATCTAATGTAATATCTGTGTATTAAACATCATAATATTTAACTAATGCACCTAAGATGTGATTTTATAAACTCTTGTCTCTCCGTCTCATACACAAGACCTTGTTTGAATACATCTTCCATCTTGAAAATGATGTAAAAAATGTAAGTAGGTCTCTCATCATTCTGTGGTAATAGCTGTTTGCTGTGTATCAGACATTACATGTTCCTTTTTGCCCGTTTGCAGGCGTTAGAGCTGGCTGCTCTTGCCACTGAACATGCTCAGTTCAAAGACTGGTGGTGGAAAGTACAACTGGGAAAATGCTATTACAGGTGAGAATCAGTCAATAAAGAAACGCACACCTTTTTGAGGTGCAAGTTAAAGGAGCAGACTAAATGAAGAAAAAATTTAACTGCACACTCCCATAAGCACTGTTTGTTTATTACAAACTTTTCGGCCAAACAAGTAGCCTTTGTCAAAGTTGACTTGTTTGGCCGAAACAGTGTCTGCTGTTAGGTAGAGAAAGACGATTTTAGTGCAAAAAAACTTTGCAAACTTTATAAACTAAGCCTGAGAAACATAATATAAAAATCTAAAACAGCATATCATGAGCTGTGATGGGCTGGTAATATGTAAGCGCTCATGTACAGACGTGCTTTACTGCTGTTAATGCATTAGTGACATTAGTCACACTGTTCCTGTTAGTAGTGTGAAAACCAGCTGTTCTCTATATTGTGATTATTTCATGTACAGAAAGCTCAGTAGACACGACTGTGATGCAACAGGAGTCGATCTAAATATCATGCTGCAATCAACACTTTTCACCATTAGTTCATCTTGGTGGCTGTTATACTAAAAAAGCAGTAAAAGTTTTCAAGAGATTTCCACATGTAATACTCATTTCATTCATCAGGTTTGGAGAAATGCGGCATTGCATCAGTGTCTCAGCAATGGATGCTCTGCAGGAGCATCCATTGCTGAGACAATGATGCAATGCTACATTTCTCCAAATCTGATGAAGAAACAAACTCATCTTAATCTCAGATGACTTGAGGATGAGCACATTTTCAGCTAATGTTTATTTTTGGTGAACCGTTTCTTTAAGAGAGTTTGTTTGTTTGTGTTTTAATGCCAATTTCCAATGAACCAATTGTGTTTGTAGATTGGGTTTGCACCGTGAAGCTGAGAAGCAGTTCAGATCAGCGCTCGCACACCAAGAGTTTGTTGATACTTACCTCTACCTCGCAAAGGTACCATTGACAGGTCAAGCTTTATTGTGTTCGGCTTGCTGTAAGTACTACCCAGTGAGAGCTCTTTGTGCTGCGCAGGTGTATCAGCGGCTTGATCAGCCCATCACTGCTCTGAATGTGTTCAAGCAAGGCTTGGATCACTTCCCCGCCGAGGTCACGCTGCTCACGGGAATCGCACGCATCCATGAGGTATCTGTGTTTTTGTCTTTTTTGTTTGGTATTTGTCTTTTTTATGTTCACATCATTTATTATACTTCGGATTAGGGTTAGGTTAGGGTTAGGAAATGAATAACATGATCTCAGCCACAGAATACTATAGAAAAAGAGAAGTCAGGACAGCTTTAAGTTTTGGTGTTAATGTCATTTAAATTGGCTGACTATCAAAGGAGCAACTCTATTAATGTACTTCATCGTGATGAGGCATATAATCTCACAATGTATTATATTATATTAAATACGCATTATGTAGTAATATTGGTGTGATGCTTCCCCACTGAAATGAGTTTTTTGCAGGGAACAAACCCATAGACAGTAGAGCTATTTATTATAGCTTTGATCATAGAGCAGATGCTATCAAAAACATCCCTAAAAAGGTGAGCAGGCAATAAGTAGACTGGGTAACTGTCATTTGGGAAGTTATTTAGGATATTCCACACGAAGACACTGATTGAGAATGTGTAAAGCTGTGGGAGGGTGGGACTAATGCCGAGTAGTGAACAACATAGGACAAAAAAATGAAACCTATCCTAGATTTTCTGAACTGTGGATTTTAAAGGGTTGTGAAACCCTGTAACACATTTTCTCAGAAGTTAACAGATATATACAGGTTGCACATCACTGAAAACAATGATAGCACTCATTGCGTTTATGATTAAAGAGCAGGTCATATGGGTTTTTGAAAAATATCTCTTTTGCAGTTTATAACGTAGCTATCCTTAAATGAAAACAATCTGCAAAGTTGTTAATCAAAAAAGTGCATGATAAATAAAGATATTGTCTCTCAAAAGAGAGAGTTGGTTCTGAATCGCCTTAACGAGTCGTTATATTTTCGAATCTTTTGCCTGTTACCGGTATACGTCACTGGGTAACACATTTGCATAATCCCCACCAGCCCGCGAGTCTGACCCGCCCAAAAACACTTCCGCTAGTTATGCCGAGTTCACACTGCATGATTTTCAAACTCGTCGGATCGCCGTTGTTTTCACACTGCGTGACTATCTGGGGTAGCATTCAGTTGCTGCTGTGTTCACACTGCACGATGGATCGGCGACAGGAGGCTTCACATTGCATGACTTCACAATAGGAAGAATCGCCGACAGCTCTGTCTGGTGCAGGGTTGCCAGGTTTTCGCTACAAAACCCGCCCAATTACTACTCAAAACTAGCCTGAAAATAGCCCAATTGCTTTCGAGTGGATCCCCCAGTAAAAATCGCATTCGGGGGGTAAAAGAACATTTTTTTTGGCGGGGTTCTCCTGGTACAATTCATAAGCTAAATGTTTGTTACTCAGTCATAGTTTATTGTATTAATATTTTATTTGTTTGTGTAAATTTTATATTTTCTCCAACAGCCCAAGCATACCCATAGTCATATAGAATGCTGCATCAGACAAATTCATAAGGGGAGAAAATGTAAATAATAAATCCGCTGCATAGCAAGAGTTGAGGATGTTGCAGTTTAATTCATTGCATGACTTCCGCCAGTAGTGGCACTCACACAGTGCAAGCAGTGACCCTGTAATACATTCACTAGAAAGACATGCAAATGTGCCTTTAGCATCAGGATCAGGATCAGGATGGGCAACTGGACTCATGAAAGACTTTTGTTTTGGCACAGGCGAAAGCTTTTCTGCAGACTGCTGCTTCACTGTCTCCTCACATGTATGAGCCACATTTTAACTTTGCCACGCTCTCTGATAAGGTATGACTCAACACTGTGTGCTATTCTATCATTGTTTTAATGACAGTATTTTATTATTTTATTTTGAGCTTTCTTTGTGACTTGAAGGTTGGTGATCTTCAGAGTAGTTACATGGCTGCTCAGAAATCAGAGGACGCTTTTCCTGAGCATGTGGACACTCAGCAGATCCTGAAAAACCTCAGACAGCATTTTGCCACTCTATAAGACCACTTAACTGTAATCACATCACTGATCAGGGATAGAAATGACCTGCAAGGATTGTAGCTATGTATAGATTGCAACGTTTAGACCGTTACATACCCCTCCCTGTGGTCTAAAAATTTGACCCATGGTAAATTTTTAAATTCAGGGTATGGTAAGTATCTATCTGAGCCGGATCAGACAACATAGTCACCTTGTAATTAACAGGTCCTAGCTTTTTTACAATTTTTGCTGGGCCCTTCCAGTTTGGAGAAATTTTCGCCATAAAGGCATCGTCTGCTCAAGAGAGAGGATGAGTTTTTACCCAAACTAAATCTCCCTCATCGAAGTTCTGAGCTCTTCTTCTAAAGTCATAGTACCTTCTCTGTTTAGTTTGAGCCTTCTCTACATTCTCCCTTACTGACTCGTACAGATTTTTTTGGCGTTCAAGAGTACTATAGGATGGTTGGTCAGGGTCTGGAGGAATCTGTAAGGCTCTCTGCAGAGGTCCTTTCAGTTGTCGGCCTAAAGCTATCTCTGCAGGAGAATAACCTGTGCTTTCGTGCCATGCAGTATTTAGTGCAAATCTGAACTCCTAAATCCATTGATCCCAGGTACGGTGGTTCCGATCAACATACGTGGCAATCATCGTCTTTAGCTTCCGATTGACTCTTTCAGTGAGGTTAGACTGAGGATGATATGCTGTAGTGAGTTTTTGTGTCACGTGCCATTGCTTACATACTTGGTCAAGGAGGTTGGAGGTGAATTGTGTACCTCTGTCAGACACAATAAAAGTTGGAGTGCCCCACCTCGTGAAAATTTCCTCTATTAAAGTTCGCACAATGGTAGCAGACTTGGCAGCTCTCATGGGAAATACTTCTACCCATTTTGAGAAGTAGTCTACTATCACCAGCAGATATTCATTCTGTCGGGTGCTTCGGGGAAATGGTCCCATGATGTCCATTCCAAGCATATAACCAGGCTCGACTATGGGTACACTTTGTAGACCGCCTGCAGGTTTTAAGTTAGTCGGCTTGTGTTGCTTGCAATTGCAAGAATTGTTGCTTGCAATTCTTGCAGTGTTGCCATACATCTGTGCGAATTAAGGGCCAATAAGCAAACTCCAAAAGTCTAATCAGTGTTTTAAATTTACCTAAGTGACCACTCGGGATTGTCATGTGCATAGGTTAAAATTGCTTCCTTCAACTTTGCAGGAATGACAATTTGAAGTCTCTGGCCTGCTTTGGAGTCTGGTACACTCCTAAATAAAACCTCGTTTTTGAAAACATAGTGTGTTCTCTTAATGTCTGTGGTTTTCCGGTTCTCTACTTTAACCATCAATTCTTGGCACTCTGGGTCTAGTTTCTGTTCTGCTGCGATTTGTGGCAGATCATATCAGATCTTGTGTGTGCAACAAAACAGCTGGTGACTCAACTGCATACCTTCTGGACAATACGTCAGGCACTACATTACATTGTTCTCTTCTGTACCGTACGGCAAAATGATATACCTGCAGCCTTATAGTCCATCTTTCCAGTCTGGATGAAGGTTTGGGATGCTGGAATAGCCAGACTAGGGATGCATGATCTGTGATCACTTCAAATGCTCTGCCCTCTAGGTAATGGTGCCACTTCTCTACAGCCCATACCACTGCGAGACACACTTTTTCCGATGCTGAATAAGATTTCTCAGCACCTCTGAGCAAACGAGATGCGTAGGCAATTACTCTCTCCTGGCCAGCCCGTCCTAGATTTGTGGTACATACTGAAGGCCAATCATACAAGAGAGCTTTCAATTGACTTTTTACCTGGCCTGCAGCATGACAGTTTTCCACGACTCGGTCGATTAGCTTCGACTTCTCCTCATCGTGCATCAACTCGACTTCTCCTTGTGCAGCATAAAATCGTACAGCAGGGTGCTCGTGCATTTTATTAAAACACATGGGGTGACTATGGTTAGTATCAGGCAGAGATATACGTGAAACATTAAAATCGATGGTGATTTTGGCTTCTTTAAGGAAATTCAATCCCATGATGATAGGAACTGCCAAATCCTCATCCTTCATCACATAGAATGTGACCTCATACTTCGCTCCGTACATCTCACATTCCCAGAGTAACTTACCCTGAGCTTTTTGACTCTGGCCATTAGCAAGCATGAACGTCTGAGCGCTTCTGGTCAAATGCTCATCCTTCCTCTTTAGTCTCTGCCATACTTTCTGCTGCATCAAAGAAAAAGTGCTTCCCGTATCAATCACAGCATTGAAGAATGAGTGATTTAAAACAATGGGTGCCTGCAGTACATTGTTACACTGAGAGTTGGAAGTGGGATCAAAAAGCATCAGGCGATTAGGCTGACTTTTCCCACCAGAAGAATTATTCTTCTGTTCCTCACCTTTCTCTTGACTCCATCTTCTCTTACTCTCAGTCCAGTCCTTCTCTATTTGAGTGCCGAGACGAACCAGCTCATCAATAGTTTTCACCGTTCCCCTCAACAGTGAAGCCAACCGCGGATTGCAGTTTCTTAACGTTGCCTGCACTAATTCAGCTTCAGACAACAACGGGTTAATCTTTAGTGACATCGCTCTATAGTTAAAAGCAAAGTCTCGCACACATTCATTGACCCCCTGTCGATAACTTGCTAACTTCTGTGCAGCAACTTCCTTGTGGTCTTCATTCAAAAACGAGAATAGGAATTTATCTTTGAATGAATCCCAATCTCTAATATACTGTTTCTCTGCTCTCCACCAGCTCTTAGCGGTTCCTTTAAGGCTCACGGATAACGCCACCAACAACTCTTCGTGGAGCAGAGGTCTCAATTCCTTATACTCTTCAAAGCGATCGATAAATTCAATGGGATCTTCTGAATTCAAATTACTAAAGGTGGGTAACTATTTTAACAGAAGGCAGATGAGATGCTGAAGAAAGATATGTGACTTGCCTCGTAGTGTCTTGTGGAATTGAAGTGATCCTAGAGGGTGTTTGAGATATTTTGTGAGAAGTATTCGTGCTGGAATGAACAGGAGTTGACATGACTGGTTGGATAGCCTTGAACTGTTGCTCCAGCTGTTTATCACGCCGTTTCAAACAATCCACAATGCTCTTACTTAGTTCATCCACTTTGGCATAGCATTGTTGGTGAACCCGATCTAATTCTCTCTGAAGACGATAATTCATTCGGTCTTCATATACTCTTAATTTTGTGCTCACTGTCTCTGAGGTAACGAAGTCGCTGATTCTGTGCTCAAGATCAACAAGGTGCTCTTCAAT